CGGTGAATAGCAAATTCCTTTCCCAGAGCCACTTTAAACAAACATTCCTGGGCTCTCACACTTCAATATTTAATGTTCTGGATATTTTCTGTTGAATTTAGATTTTAAAAACAAATTTCATTTATGATCTTGTTAAAACATGGGACTGATCAAATATTGTTGGTGTTCAAAGTCACTTGGAAAATTAATGACAACTGAATTTTAAACAAATGTCATTAGAAAATTTGTTTAGAATGTTCATAGAATACTTGTGTTGTTATAGATAGTTGTCTTTGCCTTCTGTACAAATATTGAAATAAAGCATACGGTTGCTTTGCAATGAAGAAATGGGAAGATTTACTGCAATGTTGTTTTAAAATGTGGATGACCAACAGTATAACCTATGTTACCTACTTCACGTAATTACTGAGATATAGAATCTCATATATCTGCATATCATACTGGAATTTCAAGATCGGGAAATTTAGTAGTCAGGTGCATTAGCGCTAGGATGGAAATGAAATGTCACTATTCTTCATGAATTATCTCATAAAAAATGTAGAAATATTTATGAATCTGGAAAAAATATATATATAGTATGACTAATTTATCACAGAATCATTTTCTGTCTTGCTAGCTTCTTTATACAAAATAAATTAGAATAAATTATTAAAATAATGTAGATTTTAAAATCAAAATAAGAAAAAAGTTAGTGACAACATATGTTTGTATTACTACTTGAAACATAATTAATGATCATCTCCTGCCACCTCTTTAACTTAACACTGTTCTGACCTGTATTTGTTTGTTTAGTAATTGTCAACATGCTTGATTTATCTGTATTTACCTGTTCTCACCTGAACTAATAACTTGACACATACAATTTTAATGAACATTTGTAAGAGCTTGTGTGGTACCTGGACACCTACTGTGTGTCTGCTTGGTAGGAGAGATTTGTGTAGGACACATGCTGGTAAGATTCACAGGTAAGAAAATCAACAGAAAGCTTTAACCAACAGGTAGACTGAAGCGTTATCTCAGGTTTTCCTGCTCTGTATACATTGATGGCTGTAGTAGAGAGAAATCTCCAACATACACATAGATTACACGAATGAAGTTGGATTTACTCAATTAGCCAGGTAAGATGTAGGAGAAGCACTTTGACTTGATTATCTGGATGAAGTTGGATTTACTCAGTTAACCAGGTAAGATGTTAGAGAAGTGGTTTGACATTTCCAATTAGCTGGGTTAAATACATATTAGCCAGGTAAACCCATTGCTCTATGTCATCTTGTAAAGATGTGTTTGGTCATTGTGGTACCTGCAGCTATCTTGTCTTACCTGTGCCCTAAATACCTGTATATGTTCCATGCAGAAGGGTCAGCTGCCCTCAGTACATATAACAAGGCTCTAGACTGTTATAAAGTCTGTCATGTCTATTTGAGCAGTGAGACTGCACAGATCATGTCACAAAAAATATGTATGTATCAAGTGTTGAGTGAGACTTTGTAGGCCAAGCATAAACTGGGATTCTTTGTGGATTTATAAATTAGGATGCTGCATCCACACTTCAAAATCAAAAGACTGGTATGTAAACCATCGATATGCTAATTATAGACTCAGCATGTACAAGAATTATGTTGATCACCTGCTCAGTATGGAAATTAAAATGTATTCCAACTTGTTTGTATCATTTATTAGTAAATTGATGCATATTTACAATTGGAAATGGGGGCATAATTACAGGTTAAGGGTTTGATCAAATCCAATTGTATTTCAATTAAATTTGTTAAATGGAATGAAAATTAGAAATTTTTGAATTAGTTTACCTAAACATCTAAGGAATAGATAAATGATTTTAAATGTCTAATGATTGAAATTATATCAAAGGAGTTTGTTGAGATATTTAAATGATACTGATTTTTTTTGTGTGTTCTTTTTTCTTGAAACTATAATGGTAGAGTTCATATTTATGTATCAACATGTAAATTAATTTGTATATGTTTATCAGGTAATATATTATTCATGTGTATATCAAGGAGGTCAAAGCACAACAGGTGTATGTTCTATTTTAAAGTAAATGATGAAAGACATTTATTTTTGGATACAGTTTCCTGTTACTGTGGTTTAATTCATGAAAAAAATGCCTCCATAGGATGTTGTCGGTGGTATCATGAATGAAGTTATAAACCTTTCCACTGACATTCCAGATTATCCGATAAGAAATATAAAAATAAATATTTCTCTACTTCACTGTACTATACTAGTGCTATAAAACAACCTGTTGTATAAACGTGATACGTTTTTCTATAATCTGTTCATTGCTCTCTTAGAGACCTAGATGCTATCTTAAGGTATTTTGTAGTTAATTTTGGCAACCAACAGAACTGATTCTTTCCAGTTTTTATCCACAGTTCCAACAATTAAAAAGAAGTGGGCCTCTTCCTAAACTATCATAAACACCTGATAAATACACAAATTGGAGATACACTATTTAAAGAGGTAGAGATTTTGTATGGGGAAGCTTGGCACCACTTCCAGCGGAGATGTCAAGCCAACTGTTGTGTAGTGTATCTATCAACCTCCTCAGCCCTCTGATTTTCTGATAACCACGCAGTAGTACAGACTTAAACAGGCAAATTTTGTGCAAATTGAATTGCATACCAAAATTCCAGAGAGAAGCTTCTCTTGTATCTGTTTTCAATATTATACTAAATAGCTTGAATTGCATTTTACAAATTTAATTACCAAGATTCCACAGAGAGTGGCACAGCTGAGTTAATTTTAGATCAATTCTCATAAGAGTTGATTTGTCAAGCCTGATTTCTTGTTGCGTTTGAGAACTTTTTCGTGTTGATTACCAAGGTTGAAGTTTTGATCTTATTTTGTTTGTGAGTGGTATTCAATGAATTAAGATGACAGGGTACCACTACAACGAGGGTCAGGCAATGATTGGTCAACACAGTGTAGACTAAAAGAATTAGCCAAGTTGATAAATATAATCGATCAAAGTCATATTTCAGTTCTGTGTAATGTTTGTCATTTTTTTCTATGGTTGCATGGCCCAAAGCAAAATCAAATTTATGATTTCCTATAAAGTAAAAGAAATAGAAATGAAATTAATTTTGATTAAGTCTTTCCTCTGAAATTATGCCTGATTTAAAGAAAAAACGATCAGTGTCTTTAATCCATATACATTTTTACTAAGATGATTAAAATAGGAAATCAATCTGTTTAAACTTGAATTACAAACATGACAAATGATGCATATGGCTCTTTACCAAGCCTATATTTCAATGTCAGCTTCTCCTACACCCAACTCTTCTACTGTTAAAACAATAACCATTGTTAGTGCTGTGCAGAGATACCATGTAGTATTAGTACCATGTGAAGAGCCAAGGCAGAAAAATTGATTTTTTTTCTTCTTTTGTGATTCCTCTGCATTGATATTCACAAACTTATGGTATCGGAAATCATACAGAGACTATCATGTGTTTATAGTGACAGTTGTGTTAGGCCAAGAGAAAGTTTATCATGTGTTTATAGTGACAGTTGTGTTAGGCCAAGAGAAAGTTTATCATGTGTTTATAGTGACAGTTGTGTTAGGCCAAGAGAAAGTTTATCATGTGTTTATAGTGACAGTTGTGTTAGGCCAAGTGAAACTATCACATGTGTTTATAGTGACACAGTTGTGTTAGGCCAAGAGAAAGTTTATCATGTGTTTATAGTGACAGTTGTGTTAGGCCAAGAGAAAGTTTATCATGTGTTTATAGTGACACAGTTGTGTAAGGCCAAGAGAAAGTTTATCATGTGTTTATAGTGACAGTTGTGTTAGGCCAAGAGAAAGTTCATCATGTGTTTATAGTGACAGTTGTGTTAGGCCAAGAGAAAGTTTATCATGTGTTTATAGTGACAGTTGTGTTAGGCCAATAGAAAATTTATCATGTGTTTATAGTGACAGTTTTGCTAGGTCAAGAGAAAGTTCATCATGTGTTTATAGTGACAGTTGTGTTAGGCCAAGTGAAACTATCACATGTGTTATTTATTAGTGAAAGTTGGTTAAGGTTAAGTGAAAATACATGAATTCTGTGTTAGTAGTGATTGTTCAGTTATTGTTTTGTTTCTCGCAAGTTCTATTTAAATCTGTAAGGAATTTAATTGGCATAAGCTGATATTGAACTGATTTCATTCTCCTGAAAATGGAAAACTTTTCTTCAACTTCTGTAATTTAATAGCTATTTTCATTTTCAAAAAGAAAAAAACTAGCATACAAAAAGATAAACAAATGAGGTGAGCAAGTAAAGATTTTTGTGAAAAGGTTGTCTGTAAGTAAACAAGGATGCAGTCATAGTACTAGGTGTTTGTTAGATTTCAGAAGGGTAGGGTTTTGATATTAGGGGTACCTGACCAGGTGTTCTGTGAATGGTGATTCATTACATGGTGAATCATATGTTGAGTTGACAAAAGCTAAAAATAGGCTTTAGTGAAAAGTGCATTGCATAAGGCCACGTCCTGTATATTATCATCACTTTATCTTCTGTAGATATTATGTCCATTTAATCTGATAAATCATTAACGTCTCAGTCTCAGACCTGACAGGTAATAAATTATGGGTATATCATAGTATAGTGTAGACCATCAGACAGTCAAATTGTATAATTCAGCCCTTGTCTGTCTTAAATGATGACCCGTTTATTATACAGAATTTTATTGAGCTGACCAGATGATGACCCGACAGTTTTAATGTGATGGGTCAAATGTTTTGGCTTAAAAGACAAATTATAGGAAAAAAATTCCTATTTGTAAATACAGGACCTGTGTGATATATGGGTCAGAATTTTTTACCCCAGTAGAAGGTTACCATGCCCTGTGACTTACAGTGCAGACCCCTCATCACCAGTCTTCAACAACCAGTTCTTTATCTGCTTGTCCCCCTCCCACAGTCATTGGACTTTCCCTCACCACTGTAAGAGCCAGGAAAACTCCCCCACATCCTGCTACCAGATGGAAGTTCCCAGCAGCAGTGTTGATTTTGAACTTACAGCTACAGCAGAAACTGTTCTAGTAGTATTCAACTATACATGTATATCTCGAACACTTGAGGAAATTTGGAAATGCCTCCATTAGCCATGGATAACTTTGGTTAAGTGTTGAGGATAATTCCTGGATATTAGTTGTCCTTTAATCATACTGTGATGGATGCTATTGCCTAATAGTACTCTGTAGAGTGAAGTGGCTGGTGTATTGATTTGTGTATTGTGTGCTAGCTGTAATCATTACTAATGATAACTCAAGTCTTGTCAGTCTTTAAGGTAAGTGTCCTGTTGATGGGTCACTATAGTAACACTCAATATACTCCTTGTAAACAAAACTGATGTAACCATTGTACACCAGTACCTTGACGATACACAATTTTGTAACCTTTTAATTGTACATTACTAATGGAGTTCTATTATATTTTACAGTTTTTCAGAACTAACCTAGTAGACGATCAGTTGTCATTAAATGCATATTAATTAATGATTGTGATTGATGTCATGATGAAATATACTATATTGCCTGGTTTGGTAAATGAATCACTTAACACTACCTATAAACCTGAACTGAATACATTAAAGTTTACAGTAAACTGTGAACATGTACATTGTTATATATATATATCAATGAGCATTGAACAGGAGATCAGTTATTTAAAGACTGTTGATGAACATACACACTTCACAGTAAAAATATTTTTGAATTGAAAACAACAATTATTTTAACTTCTTTAAGTTTTGTTTTGATTGACTATCAATATTTTGACAAGAGATGAAATGTAGGTTGTCCATTGTGACACTGGTTTGACACAAAACCTGTTTGCTATATAGTATATACCTTTAACATAACTGCCACAACTCCAGACCTCATTACAGATAGCAATCTTATTGTAGAGAATTTATCCTCTGGTCATTATGCCCTGGTCACTTAAAAAATCTTAATCTCTAATCATGTTGACATTTTGAAGATTGTACACTGTACCTTCTATAAAAACAGATTAAAGATAGCCATATTTAACCCTCAGGTTATTTAGATTCATTTTGCAGGGTATCAAAATGGTGTTGACATACTGAAGATTTCTCTCAAAGCCCTATACAAATAATCAGATATACTTGATGATAATAATTGTATTATATATAGAGTTTAGCCAGTGGTCAACTCTAGGCATTATATCTATATACCAACACACAAGTGCTGTTCAGCCTAGTAAGGGCCACTAAAGTCATGGTTTACATATCACAAACCTCTGATTGACAAGTGCACACTTGAGGTGTGTAGCTGGCCTGCAAGTATACACTGGACCTTATCTGGTCAGTATTATTGGCTATTAATTGCAGAATAAAGATAAAATGTGTCAATACAGTCATTGACAGACAGGACAGAATGCTATGTGGATGTTTATTAGGGTCAGTGTAAAGGTTGCCTTTTGTTTGACAGTCTATTGGAGTGTATGGACTGTGAGATTTTAGTGTCTTCATGTGTCACATTGCCAATTTAGTTCACATACTTGTGTGTGTTCAATCATTTCCTTGGATTTACATGTCTAACTACACACCGTGTTATTAAAAAGTCCTGGCAATTTATCTGACATATGTTTGATTTTTCAGCCAACAATATTTGGAACAATTGCGAAAGAGAAAACGGCCCAGGAAGACTCTAGGGTGGTAAGTATTACTGATATCATAAGTCTACCATCAAGTTTCGTAATACGTAGTTGGCTCAAAACATACTTATTGTCTCCACAATGTGATTAAATTTCATTGTTCTTGTCTGTTCGCACATTAACAAAATCATATCTGGTTCTCTCTTTGCACTGTATGATGTACTTATCAGAAAATATGAACAAAATTTTAACACATAAAATGTGTTCCAAATTTCAAACATTCACAGGCTATTAGCTTCGTATATTCTGTGTAGGTGAAAGACAGTTTCACATCATCTTGGAATTTTATCACGAGATTCCAAAGGAAAAATCAGAGGAAGCTAAGGAGAATTTTGATTGATGTCATAATATTCTGACGGAGGTTGAGAGAGGCTGTAGATGTGGTTGGCAGTATCCAATCCCAGTGTTCTATATTCTCACTTGTACTGCATGCCCTGAAATTACTGAAAATTGGCTAGTCACTCTCATTTGCATTGAGCAAAACAGTTAATCTGATCTGATAGGTTGATTACAATACATTAGTGTGGCTCCAGAATTCACATGAAAATAAGAACTTTCAGACTAGAATTTGTTCTTCGATGAATTCCACACTTACAGTGGATTTCAAAGTCATGAAAAAATAAGAACTTTCAGACTGGATTTGGTCCTGGAATGAATTCAGTACATCTAGTGAACTTCAACCTACTTGTAGGTCTGTATATAGGTGAACTAAACACTCTACCTTATCATACTAAATGGATAAGATTAAACATACAATAATTTGTTATTACAATAATGATTTAATGTCTCATGCCAATAGTAATGTCTTATTAGAAATACCATGCATAGTTGCTATGGTAATTGATTGCAATATCAAACACTGAAGTAAGATACACTGGGCCTTATTAGCCGGGTTAAGATTCATTAAACATTCAATAATTAATCACAGTGTCTGCTGCAATCTCTTGTTTTCACTAGAAATGGAAACAAGGTGATGATGGTGATATGCCTTGTAGGGGTTGTAACCATGACAACAAAAGGCATAGTCATGGTGGCTGTTAATATGTCGCTGATCTTCTGAATAAGGGTGCCCAGGAGGGTAATCAAGGGGAGATAATTTGAGATTTAGTCCATTGCAATCAGGTTTTACCAGATGGACAGTGTTGAGAGGTAATTACTAGAGTGGGTGTTTAGGTGCATATCATCATTAGCTCTGGTTGCAGGTTCAGACATTACCACACTAATGATTAGAAGCATTTTACAGCACAAGAGATTTTCATGAAAAGTATGTGTGCATGCATATCTGAAATCTGAGCTGAAGAATTGAATTTTCCAATGTTTTAGTTGAATTTAATGTTAGGATGTGGTTGGAAATTTTTATGACATGCGTTTTAGGTTACAGAAGATTGAGGCCTGTTTGTACTTTACACCTACATTTTGATATTGATTGTTATAGACTCCTGAAAATAATGCTCAAGGCTTGTCTGAGGATTTCTAAGAGAAATCAGATGATGATCTGTGCGACTATATGTTCGGCCCTTTGCTTGTTACTTTGTACAATAATCTGTCTGTGTTAGCTTAAATTTTTTGTCCAAAATAGTGGGTAACACATATCTGGTTCTCTGTTGACTACAACATCACTGTTGTGATCAAACAGTAACAGTTGTATTATCAGCTTTTCAAATTAATGTATCAACAAGTTTTAAATAGTTTTTAATCCAGTGGAATTACGTTCATGATATTATAATTAATGGGACCCAGAAAGAATGCCTGTTTTAAACTCATTTAAAACATTGTTGAGTTCTAGAGTAGAATTTATCTCTACAATTCACATTACTGACATTTCTTGTTTTTATGTAACATTTCTGTACAAATTTCAGAAAATTTCTGTGTGGTTCTTGGATTTTTGTCATACAAGTTAACTCCTTAGGCACTAAAACCAGGGAATTGTCTCACATTGATGTGGCCTAGATTGTGCTGGGGAGTTAGGGGGTAATTATAGGGACTTTGGATCTCATTAGAAACACATATATAACACCAAGGACACATGCAGCTCCCTTAACTGTTGCCATGTGTCCAGGTCTGTTTCCAAAGTCCTGCCTATTGACAGAGCTCCTAATCAAATTACATTTTCTGATAGAATGAAGAACAGCATAGCACTAATTATATCTCCAGTCTTTTAAGATAGATCTCAACAGATATACCCCAAGTAATCTAATTTTTTCCTCATTGATGTAAGTCTCTATCTCCAATTCTGGTAAATTCTTCCAGTTTGGTATTTCATTTGTAAGCATCAGAGAAAGCAGTTAAGGTAATTTGGTTAAAAAACAGTGTACATTTGTTAGGGTTGTGTGGTAAGTTACTGTAATAGAAGATTGAAGTGATAGACTAGTAGTTTCACAATCAATTCTGTTTCTATTTGTTAAATTACACTGCTGCTAAGCAAATTAAGATGGGGGAAGGAACTTTTGGCCTAAAATCCTTTAGAATTATGTTCATGATCAAGATGAAAGTTGAGCGAGAAATTAAGTTGCAAACTGAAAGTTGAGTGGGTAATGTAACATACCAGTGTATGTAGGTTAAACAATTAAGATTAGACAATTAGATAATATACCAGTGTATATAAAGTAAGTATCTGTTTCTTATATATTTATTGGTTGTCAACATTTCCATTTTAATGATGTAACAAGCCACATGCATGGTTTCTCAGATTTTGTAAGGAAGTTTTAAAAACCAGCATTCTAAGCATCCCCTGATTATCCAAACAATGATTTGTATGGATTTAGTGGCAGTTTTTCAGGCTACAGGATCATTTCCATTAATTAATTAAAAATTCCCAAAAAAATTTAATTAAGAAAAAATGTTTAATGTTTGTAAGCAATGGTATGATCGCATTCTGCCAGATACCAGACAGAGGAAATTTTTAATTTTGTGAAATACTGTTCAAAGTTGTGGTGAATGCTTTATATAAACTGGAGATATTCAACATGAAACAACATGAATAAGGCATTCATTGTTCCTTAGGGATGAAGCTTTGACTGTAGATAATGCTTGCCAATCCGTTATTTCCTGAAATGTTCCAGCAGATTTTGAATCATTAGTAGTTTGGCATATTTGCTGTTATGAAGCTTTCAGCAACCCCCTATAATCTTTATCACAACTTCTGCTGTCTTCAAACCATTTTGATCAGTTGGTGAATGGAAGTGAATCTGATGGAATAAGTTTTGAAATATTGCATTAATATAAATGAACTATCATTGATCAATGTTGAATTATTTTTAATCCTGAAGGTTTCTCTCGTCAACTTAAACTGTAAGCATCGCTGACATCAGTTTATTTATGTCCCAGAATTGGGAAATCTCATGGCCCTGTTCAATCTCTACAGCTGTTAACATCATTATGGTAGGTTTGAATTATGAAAGGTGACAGCTGCCTCTTCATTTTGCAAAATTTATGAGATTTAGAAGCTGTCCATCATGCCATTAAAATACATCAAAATATCTGGCAATGTAGTTACACACACAGGATATATCACTTTACTTATTTATTGTTTCATAGTTATAAATATTAAGATTCGTTTTTAGAAAGTGCTTCTGTTAACCTACAGTTTTTCACTTTAGTTATGCATTGTTTTATAGTTTATTGTGATATTCAGAAATCCAACATTTCCTTTTTGAAATATTAAGATTCTGATTAAGGGAATGTTTCCGGTAACTTGCAATTATTTAACCGCAGACCTTATATAGCAACCTTATAACTGTGAAATGTGTCTACTCCTACAAGTCTGTTCATTTCCTCTCCATATATGTTCACTGTTTATTCAAACCTTTATAGGAAATAACCTCTTGTTTTGAAACAGGATATTCTCACTCGACGTTAAATTGTCTTTTGCTTGCACTTGAATAACAGCTAACTATTCACGCCCATGTTCCTGTTATATTTATAAGTACATGTGATATTGTTTGAGCGGTGAATTCTAAGATTTGAATTTTTTCAAATGTGGTTGATCTAGGTAAATAAGTATTATTTAACATTGCATTGGCTTTCTTCCATTCAAAACTAAAGACAAGCAGGGCCTTTTAGTCTGGTAATTGCTGATATTTGATAGAATTAATGTAAAACATTTTGAGGAAAAAAACTGTATTGGAACCCAGATGTGCATTATTTGGTGGAAGGTTTTAGGATTTAGTTGGCATTTTTGGTAGCTGACAGATTGATGATTATTGGTAGGAGGCACAGCCCTCTGATAAAACAGGTAGCTACTGTACACTTGAGGTCTACCTGTTACTGAAGATGTGTATCAGACTGAACAGGTCTGGCTGGTGCCATCTCTCTGTATGCCATATCTCATATATCTCCTGTATCATCCTCTGTCTAGTCTACAACAGAACCCCCCTGCGCTCCTCCCCTCAATCTTTCTGTCTAGTGTCTACAGAGTTTTTCAAAATATATCCCAACTCCCTGGCCCCTCATCCACACCCCTGCCCTCATTCCAGGCCTCTTAAACACACCACTTCGCCTAAAACTATAACAGCACCTCTGACATTTCCCTCCTCCCTGCATATATAGGGTACAAAACATTGTATGAAGCTCAAAAACATGGTTCACCTGTGGAGAGGATAGTGGGATGTTGTTATGATATATATCCAAATATATCTTTGGCCTAAATAGCTGTAGAGAAACGTATCCTGTATGTCTCTCCATCCTTAGATGTTGTTAATTCCTGGTATACCTTCATTCATCAGAACCGATTCCAGTGATTCCTGTGGTGAAACAGGTGGGAGTGGTCCTTACATACCCTCCTCTATCATTGGCCAGAATGTTTCTCAAAGTCTTTACTGGTATGTCAGGATGTGGGAGAGGCAGGTACCGAGTAGGTATATTTGGTCAAAGAGAAAGGCATAACTTTGTGTATGAATGGAAAAATACTATGTGGGTTTTCCCCCAAATCACTTTATTAATTGTTTTTCCCTATTCCACTCATTCACTAATTGACCGTTTAGTGACCCAGTGTACATGTAGGCGTTGGATACTCTGTATATATACCTATCTTGGTCTTCTGTTGGGAAGATGATGATAATTTCCCATCCCTTCCCCATCATACCAAATGTGTCCCCTCCCCCAGTTATCTATAATAAGTAATGATGACTTGGTACAAATATACAGGATTCAGAATGTTGACCTGTGATTTGATTGTAAGGATGGCTTTCTCTAGCAGGGTTGTTAAAGTTCCACTGGTGAGTAATTAAACAACATATTGGTAGCTGTCCCATTTCTTCATAGTTACCTTTCTCTCTGTACAATAACTAAATAAGAACACCTTCAGTGAATTTTTCGGCATTATTTGTCCTTATTTGGCTTAAAAGTTATTGTCCTTGTTTGTCAAAAAGAAAAACTGTCCACATTGATCAAGTAGATGTCCTGATTTGTCAGTAAATTTTTATTGTAAAAGGTATTGATGAATTTTCCTTTCACCTATTTCTTACTGAATGTCCTTGGCCCTGTTACGGATCTGACAACATAAACTAAAGTCTCCACATGGCTCCTCATAAACATATGGCTAGAACACTAATAGATAATCGTGACCATTAGTAAACATGGCTTCCGCTGCTGGAGGTGAATATTTTCCATGTATATATAAAGTGGACAAGATTTTTGCCCCAGAAACACACACTGCTTCTGCGTATCATGATAGTGGCCAAATAATTCCACTTGGTATTTTACATACGCTCTCTATTTCTGGTTATTGGTTCTATAATTATATTGTTGTGAAGGATGAAAGTGATGAGGGTAATGTATTGGTATAAACCAGAGACCTAATTGGTCTTATACAATAACATGATTGATAGTGACATGGGATGCAAGTACTGATAGTGACATGTACTGATAGTGACATGGGATACAAGTACTGATGGTGACATGGGATATAAGTACTGATAGTGACATGTACTGATGGTGACATGGGATACAAGTACTGATGGTGACATGGGATACAAGTACTGATGGTGACATGGGCTACAAGTACTGATGGTGACATGTACTGATAGTAACATGGGCTACAAGTACTGATGGTGACATGTACTGATGGTGACATGGGATACAAGTACTGATGGTGACATGGGATACAAGTACTGATGGTGACATGGGATACAAGTACTGATGGTGACAATTACTAATAGTAATATAGTATCCATGTATCGATAGGGTTAAAATAAAACTGATTAGCTGCTGCTGAGGTAATCTTCAACTCACTCTTTGTTTGACGTCATAATAATGATAAAAACATCTTTAAGAGTAGACATGTATCAGATATAAGCTAGTCTGTTCGGTGGTTATGATGCAGTAGGGTACTTTTGAAATGGGGCTTTAGTGTGGACGTTGTTTGAGGTTCCTAGTTACATCCTGTTATGATGGTATGTACTTGAAATGGATCCTTAATCTCTGTAGAATTCCTGGTAAACAATGTAGTAATAGGAGCCTCATTTGGATATATATGACCTTTAACCTTTTTGTACAAGAGGTTTAAGGTCTTATATATACAGCATATCAGATATCTATTGATGTGGTCTTGCCTTGTGCCAAACATCATTGTGTACATCAAGTACCATTTGACATAATTTCCGTATATTAATTGAACATTTTGTTACTTGTTTCTTATTTGTGTTCAAGCCAGTATAAAGGTCGCTCACATCTGTGACATGAAACATGTCAAATTTGAAAACTTTTCAAAAGTATTTAGCAACATGTCGAATGCAGTCATTTAGGTAAAGAGAGATATAGATTTCTATACAAAGCAAAGAATTTTAGGTGGAAGTATTTTTCTGTTGCCCTCACATGTTGAAAACCAGCAATCCTGATACAGTTTTTATTACTCTCAGTGGAGGTGGCATACAGTATATGGAGTTGGTTTTATGGCCACTCACACAGGCACTCACTTATGGAGATAGTAGTCAGGTAGCTCAGGAACAAAATTTAGCATCAGACAATATATTTGTATCATCAGTTACGATATACTGGTAATGAGTTTTAAGTAACAAAAATTGTTGTACATATCTGATTTCCATGGAGGGTATTATGTTCATGTGTATTTCTGATAAGAGTGTTAATGTACAGACTATTTCTTGATGTGCTTAATTGGGACCACCATTGTAACTGTATATTTTGCAGTATCGAGAAATTCAATATTTCAAGTATGATTAGACAGAAAAGACATGGTAGCAGTCCTTTCCAGCTATATAAAACTGCATTTTTTTAGGGAATTAACTTTATAAATTTTGCAGAGTGTTGGGAAATTCAATATTTAAAGTATAATTAGACTGTAGACACTGTAGCAGGCCTTTCCAGCTGTGTAAGACTATATTTTTTAGGGAATTTTGTGGGTTTACCAGGTAAGTTAGGTATTGTCACAGAGATAATATCTAACACAGTGCACAAATTAAAAAATTTGAAATAAAATAAACAGGAAGAAAATGATGTAATGGAAGAAATTATCGAAGTTTTCAGCTTAAAAGGGGATTTAGATAAAGGGGATTTCTTTTTCCTTGGGAAGTATATTTATTGAAAGAGAAAGAATTTTACCTTTTCTATAGTGTTAGATAATTGTAGTGTATATGAAATCACTTTCCATTGTGTAAAAATTTGTCTGTACTGTAAGTATACCAAATAGATCCTTCTCTTATATAACTACAAGTACTGTATAAGGAAAATGTTACTGAATGAACTGTCCCTGAAGATTTGGCATGGAAGGACTTTTTCAAGTTTGTTGATTTTTCACAGATTTTGCCATAAATCATTTCAGTTGTGATAGTTTATACCAGAAAAATAATAGTAATTCTGATATTAAATGGAAAGCTAACACTAGTAAAAATTTAAAAAGTCAAGGGCTTTTATTTTTAAAGCAGTCAAAAAACTAGTATTTCATTATGAATTACAAGAGTGTACAGTACTTTGTGCAATGAAATTTTCTACATGGTGTTTCTAAACATAGAATTTCCTCACTAAACTATTTATAGTGTATTCATTAAGCTGGGAAATAGTATTATTTTCCAAAAATATAACCAGTGCATGACTGTTGTGTAATTTGGTCAAGGTTAACATTGCTCATCAGGATTTTCCACGGAAATGACACACGTCATCAAACACGTGTTGCTATATTAATAGGTACAAGTACTTTACAGCTATTTAACTTCAGTGACACATCATAAAAAGAGAACTTGTTTCTTTTTCCTGGTAAAATACTTATATTTATTTTTAAATCTTGACGAATTTCACATTGAAGTAGTCTTCCAGTTTTAAAATTTTGAGAATTCTTTATATATACTGCTGTTTTGAGTGTCGTACATGTAAACTGTATCTTTGTCGGTACATCTGTTCACTGTGATCATTTTAGGTATCATACAATATTAGTTATCTTTATTATTCTTATTTTGAATTCATAATTTTAGTTTACATATTAGATTTCTATAGTTAATTTAGATACAGGATATATTGAATAAAAATTCTGTTTAATATTGATTATGTTAATTGTGTCATTGTAGGTACATAACCCTTTTTATGCTATTGGGTAATTTTATACACAACCAAATGAATATGCACTCATAGGGCTATGAATGCAGTTGAATCAGCATCTGCCTCATGTAAAAATTAGATGATGCTAAGCTCTTCCAGAAATGACACTGATATTATTGCTTCTCATGATCGTACAAACAGAAAAGATCATATAGTTCAGTTGGTAGGGTTATACATAGAAGGTTCATTAAGATAAATGTATAACTATGAACTGTTTTAAAAATGTTAACATCTGTTACACTTAATTAAATGTATTGCTATTTAGACTATTTATTTTAAACTGACCACGTGTATTTGTAATTTACCTTTTGGTTTGTTTAATGTTATTTCCTTTTGGATCGCTGTGTGTTTTACCGTTTGATGGCCCAAATGACCTTTGATGTGTTGACGGGCCGTTAAGAATGTAATAATAATAATTATGTATTTGTAAGACCTATTTTTATTTACTTGTAGAAAAGTGTGGGGCCACAGATGATCAGCCTGTCGCAGATGTTTGACCATCACCTGGCTGGCTACAGTGCTAAAGTAGATGGTCACTTTTCTGAGAACGAGGTCAGTGTTGAATGTCATTATCCCCCCTGTCCCCCTTTTCTACTACAACCACCTGTACCAACCTTAAATATACTAAACGCTGAAAGAAAACTTTCTTTGTTATGCTGCACTTGTTACAAGTGTATGTAAACCAGTTGGATAATTTGGCTCAAGCAGTTGGTCATTTCTAGATACATTGTATAGTACATAGAAAATTAGGGTTTTCTATTGGTTACAGTTGTTAAAAACAGCCAATCAAAGTCTTCCAGGTTGAACAAGTAACCAACTTCACTTCAGAAATATTGCACTTTAGGTGATGAATATGCAATTTTCTAGTTTATAAGTGCTGAACAATACTGGTTGTGTATTCTAAAAGTAAGAAAAAAATTTTCGTTAAATATTATTTTTTTTTTGCATTTAACAAAAAATTTACAGCATATTCATAGTCTCTGTATGAATTATACCATTATATGAATAAATTTGAGTATGTTTCCTTCATATTTATTAAAGATAAAATAAATGAATGGTGCCTGTTTGTTCTTAAGTGGTTTTCTTGAATGACAAGAAGAAATCTGTGTACAGACAGTGTAGCATTGTGGCTGGTTAATGAATACAAGTGTTAACCACACACGCGAATGTGGTACGTCATTCCCGAAGATAATATGTAGTGTGAGGTTGATAGCACTATCAACTGTGATAAAACACTAAAATGCCTTCATTGTCAAGACCTGTACATGAAACCTCAGATATTTATTCTCTTTCCTCTTGTCTAGTCGTGAAACCTCAGGTATTCTCTGCTGTCCGAAATTTTTGTCCTTTTCTTTCTGCTTTGGACAAGTTAGATGACTGATAATGTACTTTGTTTGTGGTTATCATATATTTCTAGACACAAATATGCATTTGTATAATTATGGATACAGTTGTTGGCAGAATGTCAAGGTCGTTGTCAGAGAAACTTTTCTGCAACTTTTGCGTACTGGGCAATGAATATGATTGCGTAGATTTTTTATTGATATCAGCATGATGTAAGAAGTATGCCCATAATCCCTCCACTGTCAGTATATCACATGATATTAGGTGTACTTGCGTCACAGACAGAATAGCATCGATAAGAGAGGGAATGTTTTTGAGATAACGTAAAGTGGTTGAGGGTTTCACCATCACACAATGGTTCACTGACACAGGAAAAATTCTCCAAAGTATAATCCAGCATTCTCTGAAATCCCTTGGGTTGTGTTGGAATTTACATTGATGAAGAAGTTGAAGATTTATTATTTTAGATGCCAGTTGTCTAAGTCAAGTTCCTAGGTCATCAACCTTTGACCATGAAAAGGTCATAGGTTTAGATTTATTCCTTAGTAAGCAGTAAATGACTTTGATGACGACATCTGTCTGTTGAGAAGGAAATGCTCTAATCGAATCTCATATATAAACAGATTTATGTATAACTTAGATAAAGATATTACATGAATAACGAAATACCAAACATGACATATATAGTATGACAATGACTAGAATTGAATGTTTGAGGAACAATTGTGGAATTTACGCATATTCATTAAGGAAAATATGGGCATGTTTTTACAATTAAAGATAATGATTTTTTTTTGTAATTAAAGATATTTTGAATAACATGTATTTTACAAGCCATGTGAGAGGTAATGTTACTGAATTCCCCATTAATCGACTGATTATTAATAACAAAGATGGATGAGGTCATGAGTTTGATATTGATTTTGTTTGCTTGGTTGCTAATTATGAAAGCAAAAGCGCTGTGGCCTTGTGGAAACTCCAAGTTGTAGGTCGTGACTCACTACCATCTTGCTGTGCCTGTTGTGTAAGTGCGCAGCCAAGTGAGTGAGCCTACGCATGATTCAACTCTCAACCAGTGTGCAGTTTCTAGTTATTTCCATTCTGATAGTTGTAATGATGAGAAGGAATATGCTTTACTTCTGAAGATATGTTTTTTTTGTGACATATAAAAAACGTATTATACTGATAAGAGATTAATACCATTGTTTACGGAAAGGTATGTTGACTTGTTTTTGTTTTGGTATTTGAGTGAAATTTAATAGACATTGTTCCTTTTTATTCTGTTTGTACATTTTTTTTATTGTGTTAATGGATTGTTTACATGAAAAAGATCTAACTTGTTTATTCCGTTTTGTCTCAAACTTAAAATGCATAGTGTATTTGCATGATGAAAGTCTATTGAAATAATCACTGGTGTTTTTGACATGTGTCAGAGGTTGTTTTTTATGATATTGACCAGACATTTATACAAACTGATTCATTAAATTGTTTTCCTAGTTACTCAATGCAATTGGTAAGTAACAGGATACTATTGTAAATGTGTATTACACTATATAGAATTTCCTGTCACTAATTGGCTGTACAAAAATAAACGAGGACATGAGTCTATATTTATAATTTGTGACTTCCTTGAGTAGCAAAACATACTTGGCCAATCAAAACAAGGCGCTATTTAAATAGAAGTGCTGTTAACGGACATATATTAAAACAGCACTGCTCTATCTGATCGGGTGGTGACAACTGACGTGGTGTTTACCTGGGATACATACAACTAGTGGGATATAAGGTGCATGGCTGTGCTGTTTTAACTCCGTTGATAATCAGTGAAATACTCGTTTTATTCTGGTTTTTAGGCTTTAATATTCCAAGACGGTAATCTAATGGCGGGGTCAATTGAAGCCCTAATCCAGCATCTGGTGCCGACCACAAGCTACCACCCTGATGTGAGTATGAACTCAATTTCTACTTTTCATCTATAATAAATGAGTTATTTTATTACATAATATAAGAATATCGTTGAAAGAAGGAAAGAAAAAGAATGTTGAACTTGTCTGATAATATTTGTACCACTTAGTATTATTTTCTGATTACATGTTTTTTTTAATTAACTCTGGATATTTTGGGGTATTGCTTTATGAAAAATATTTATGCAGTTATTTTCCAATAATACATGTATAGAAGAAATGATACAGAAATAATTTAGAAGGAGAAATATTGAATTATTGAAATATCTGGCAAATGAATAATAGGTTAGAGGCCTGCATGTAAACATGTATCATTGTTTTTATAAGATTCAAAATGTCGAGCTTGATCTTGTTTAGAGGTGATGTATGGCATTCATACCTACCAACTGATAAAACATAGGATGATGGAAAAAGTGTGTAGCAAAATCAACCTAGTAAAACTAGGTTGAATTATTCAGATTCTTTAAAAGATAGCATTCCAAGTGAAAAATATTAAGGAAAAAAGAATTATCCCGATAAAGACAATAGAATTCTGCCTCTGTGTACCCAGCCATCTGTTAATTTGACAGGCATGTCTAGTATGGTATTAGGTTCGGGCTGATGTTGATTTCTGATTTACCAGTTAATTAAGATGTAGACTGCATTTGGCCAAGCCTATGTAATAGTTTGTTGATTTTAAGACATATATACAAGCTGTCAATTAAATATTTCATTATGTATGAGTTCCACATAAAACTGACATTTCTGAGGTAATGATGAATCTAATTTGAAAGACATCCTTTCATAGCAGCCAGCGTAGATGTGTTTATAAATAACATAAAATTGTTTGTGCCCACGCTTCTTTAGATTTATGGTGAATATAATTCTATTACATTTGGTAATGTATTTTTGGTTTTTAGATTTTAAAGGGAAAATACTTTGGTTTACATCATAGATAATTAACTTGTTTACACATTGGCTAGAAAGACCGCGAAATCAAAACATGTCAAGCTGATTAATGGAAGCTAGAGGGTCAGTTTCAATAGGTCTGGTATCCTGTAATGTCTACCTCCCTCAAGTACTGTGACTCCAGCACTAATTATATGTAGCAGAAGTACAGGCTTGGTTGATTGTACTAGTTACACACCTCATTTAAACCAATTAGTTGACCCTATGGAAGTGTAAACATATCAATTTCAACATTTAATTTGTCTGTCCATTTTAATTAAAAATACCTTGGATCTTATAACACGATTCATGTTTCTTAAAGAAAACATCTTGTAAATATAAAGATACCTTTATACCAGAATTCTCTGTACAGCAAGAGGTTTTAAAACAGTTTTATCTTGCAGTTCATCTATTTTACCTGATAGAATCATAAACAGTATCTTATCATTGGTGTATTTATCTTTTTCTGAAAACTCGGGCCTTTTATATCATACAGCTAATATGTGTGGTTCTGTTCATTTGTGTAACCAAACCACATGAAGGTATTTTAGATCTCAGAGATTTGGAGATGCAAGGGGATGTAGTATTGTTGTTCTGATAAAGATAAAATGAGATACAGATGTTTGCTATATATGATCAAAGTTGAATTGTGTGCTGCACCTAAGAATTTGGTAATGATTTCCTGTGCGGTGGTTTCTTGTTCACTACTGTTATATCAGTTTTTAAAATTTACAACAAGATTAATACATCTACTATTACAGTTGCATAGATTTCTAATTCATTTTTAGTCTTTTGACAAATAAAAAGATTTTATATAGACCATTTTAAAGATTTAATAGCATTTAGGATAAGCATTGTAGAAAATCCTGTTACTGGAATTAGTATTGTGCAATAATGGTACAGTCATCCTAACTATCATACCATATAGTAAATATCCCGAAGTGATGGTAGATCATGATACTGGAATCCCTTTGCCTGTAAATTTTCCTCCCCCACAAGTCATTACTGACCAATTCACTGGGATAGGAGTATAAACAGAGCTGGAATCTGGAGCAGAATGTTTATATGTTTTGTAAACAAGTACAACCTGTCAGAACTCTTCTGGAGATATATCAAAAGACTAGACTCGAAATCTTTATTAGGCATGGCAAGCTTAACGAAGCATTCACAGTATGTTTTACATTTACTTTCTGGTTAAAAGATATGTTATACATTTTTGTAACATTAAAGAAACGCTGTTATGTCCAAGACATGTTTAGTTTTTGAAGATCAGTTATGATTTCCCACCTATCCCTTTGACAATGATTTATGTAGCGTATCGTTAAGTTGTTCAGCCATATGAAATAAAGATGGGTACAGCAGCTCAGTATTAGAAACAGGAAACTACCAACCCCCTGGCAGGCAGTCAAAAATCTTTTTTTGTTTTGGGCTGTTTTTCTGATTTTAATGTCATGCTTTATTTCCCCTAATATACAAGGTAAACATGAAGGTCATTATTTGGCACATGAAATGGACAAAGTGGTTCTATAAGCAGCAGCCTGCTAAACAATTGCGAACCAGTAATAACTATTAGCCTGGCAAGTAATACAATAATATATAAGCTCTAAGGTTTTCTTTGTATTCATTTATCTTTTCTCTGAAGACAATTCACAAAAAGCTATAAATAGGTTTTAAGTTGAGATATTTTGGCATTTTTCCAAGAAAAACTGAGATTAAATAACAATACATTCCTGATAGCCATTGTTACCATGGATACTATAATCTATATTGTGTACCACTATAGATTTTCATCTTTACTCTTATAACAAACAATGGTCTGTGTCTTTGATGTTTAATTAATTATGACTCTATTTTCTGATAACATTTTAACTTCAAATATAAGACATTGTCTTACCATCAATTACTGAACATTAAAGGACATAACTTTTAAATATTTATGTTTTTGTATGATTTTTACATGTTTAGCGGTCATTCCTCTATAATTGAACTATTGAAGATTGAAGTATCTTTTAAATCCAACAGTTAATCTCTTGGTGTACATCAATTTTCTGCACCTTGGGAACATGTCGCAACAAAGTTGAATTCACATTGCTCATGGTAAAAGTCAACAATAGTTCAGAAACCTTCAAATGTGCAATCTCTTTGATAACAATAAATTGAATGTCACCTAGAACAATGGTAGGGATGTCTGCTGGGCATACATCACAGGTCACTGTTGGTAGGTTTCCATTTCTGAATTCAATCAAAGGCCTACTGCAAGTCCTTAGTTTTTTTTATGACATGTTCCAAAATTGCAGACAATATAAGCATATAAAGAACAAAACCGTAAAGTTTAAAAGATGCTTTAAAGTATAGAGAGATTAAGCTTGATTAGGATCATTTGTGTGCCTGCCAATACAGAAGAGGCCTCAGGATATGTGAAAAGTAATGTAATAGTCTTCAGTATAAGGGGTATGCACATTATGTATACCAGGTAGTATTAACCTTTTTCTATTTGATGGGGACCGATGATGTTTGCCTTGAAGATGAGGGTTTCCTTGGACATGAGGGATCCTTAGGGATTCTCTAAAAACAAAGACTTTCCAGGAGATATGTATTTGGATGCTATCGAATAGTCTTTGTCTGATCCTTTGATGTATAAGGTCTTTAGTAATGGTATTTCTCCTTGCCTTGTCATGATCAGTACATGTGCATGCTGGACTAAATTATAGAGCTTCTGGTTTCATTGGAACCATAATGTGCCTCAGCAAGCCTCATGCAACCAATTATTTGACAGTATAAAATAATGTATTAATTCAGTTTAATTTTTTTTACAAATCAGGCAGGGTGGAGGCCTGAGTTTGCACAATGTTCCAACACATGCCAGCCTGAAACTGATATGACATCTTGGTATCCTGCTGTTGCCTACAGTTCTGTTTTGTTTCTTTTTCCAGAGAACTTATGTTTTTGCATTCCTGTTGAGTTCCCGCCTGTACATACGTCCACACAGCCTGCTAGGCGAAGTCTGTCAGGTACAAAACTTATCTCTTACATCTCATGTGTTCTGAGTGTTACTGATGGTAAAAACATTTATTGAAAATTCTACAGAAAAGCAAAACATTGAGATAATGACAAAATTTTGTTGTAGCTGTATTTGTGTTGTTGATTTGTTAGCTTGCATGAGTATCGTATGTGTAGTTAGCATAGCATTTATAAAATATACAAAATATCATTTCAAGTTTTTGCATGAAAATGGAGCATACTGTAATGAGTGTGTCTGTCTTCCAGGTATGCAGTCTCCAACAAAACCTCTCCGAGGCAAATACAAACAGAGAACACTTAGGAAAGTTTGGTCCTAACATCGTCCAGTTATTGAGGTAATTACTTACGACATAGAGGGGTTTGAAAATTCTAATTGGCCCTACTTAGGTCTCTTACTGAGAAAATGTCAAAGATAGACATTTCATTGCATTAGTGCTGTTTACAAATAGTCGAAGATGGGTCGAGGCGAAATATTTTGGCACAAAGGCAGTGTTGAAGTGTTGTCATTCCTATCACCTCTGTTAAAAAACTGACATACCGAGGTGATGGTACTAATATTTTGTTGTTGGAGTCTCTAGAAATAAACACAGAAATGCAAGTGATTGGCAAAAACAGTCTTCGTTGATATGTTGGTTGAAGGCTCATTATTAAATGAGGATAACAGACCATCTGTTTCTGCCATCTAAGTGTACCTAGCTGTAAGTCAGGAATTCACCTGTTGATTAAATTACATTTGGCAGGTAGACACAGTAGTTTAATGATCTTCACTGTTGTTCACTGGAAGATAATCACGTTACTGATAGATCTGGGGAAGGACTGAACTCCAGCCAAACTCTACCAAAGCATATAGCATGCCTGGTATTTCTTTTTAGAATTCTATCATTCCCCATTGTACATTAAGATGCAGGTGTAATGCAATTGGCAGGAATATTTCACATTCTTTGCATTTCCTTTAACAGTGAGTGGGCTGAAATGTTTCCATATGATTTCCGAGATGACAGAATGATGAACCAGCTGAAAGAAATCACACAACGAATCGTAGCCATTTACCCAGAGTTGAGCAGTGATGTCACAAACATCAAACACAATCTTATTAATAGGGTATGTATACAATATTTACAATCTCTGGTATGCATACAATATTTCCAGTCTTGGTATGTCTCTTTGGCACAAATGCATGTGGTCATGTACACATTTATCAATAATTTTGAGGTCATTCCCCAGCATTTCAACAAAGTGACCTTTGACCTTGACATTAGGCGATACGTGATTGACCTTCGACATTGACCTGATGATTACTGGATCACCACCCACACTTGAATATTGTCTATCTGAGGCAAATACAGTGTGTCACTACCTCACTAAAGCCATGTGCTGTAGAACTGATAAGACCGGCATTGTAGGTTCAGGATAGAATATGCAACATTTTATTGATGAGAGAGAAATACAGATTACTTATTGAAAAAAATTATTAGAACATCTCAAACAGAGTAGCTGAGTGATAGAACATCTCAAATAGCGTAGCTGAGTGATAAATCTATATAATTTAATAGGGAACTAAGCAATGAACAGCACAATTACATTGAAGAGGAAACATGGCGGGGAGAAGGGGAGAGAGGAAGAAGGGGAATATTTGTAAGAGGGAGTGGTCTTGTACTAAAGTTCAAAGAGGTCATGGAAGGCAGGGCATTGTGGGGGTGGGCTGTCAGATAGCAGAGATAAGTTGGGTATGGACAGTCTCAGGTGACGGAACTGTCACAAATGATCGTGCAAGTCTGTATGATGGGTTCGAGATAAGTATTTTGCACCTTTTATCTATACTCTGAAATAAAGACACATTAATCTTATGAAAAAGGAGTTTCCCATAATTTCCTTACACAATTGAATGTGCAGGATGGGAGGGAGAGACATAAAATGAAAGATAAATTTGTTAGGAACGACTGGGTTGAAATTTGAGTCTAAATACTGACATTATCAAACAAACTTCCTGAACTTTGAAAAAAATCATGTTGCTGCCAGTTATTTTTAAACCATATATATTTTTAGGAACTTGATACTGTCAGTTTAGGTAATATATGTTTATGTTAGTTATAGATTCCTTCAGTGTTCTGATTCTGTACTCTCTAAACTCTGGTCATAGATGGGCAAATGGAAAGGGAATTGGTGCTAAGAAATCTAGTTTCATAATTAAAATGCCAATGATTTGATGGATCTTGTTAAAAGCTAGATATCTCTGTGGTGCCCATGTGTTACTAGTTGTATACGTATCTAGAAATGGTTTCCTATACAGCCAGATGTATCATTACAGATTGTTGGCAGTTAAACTAAACAAATTCTCCATAAGCTGTTTTAACTTCTCATCAGATGATGCTGCGACCTCTTCAGTAGACAATAAATCTCATGCTTCCACTCTCTTTACAGTTGGCAGGATTACAGAAGTACGAGGAAGAACTGTCAAAATGGAGTGATCAAGCTCTGGAAAAATCCAAATCTCAAGAGGTGCCCACGGTAATTAAAACCAATGGATTTTCTCTAGTAGACTGAGTGTTTCGGTGCAGTTTAACAAGTTCACATTTAAAAGAAGAAATTCAGAATTTGTTATTTATATTACAATAATTATATTTTATCACAAGATGTTGATAAAATTTGTTTGTAGTTTCTTAACTTTAAATAATTTAGTTTCATCTTCTATTTGGTGCTAGTATTCTGTAGCACTAATATTGAATGGTTGTGGATTAATGATGGGGATGACTTTATTAAAATCCTTGCCAATAAGAATTACTAAGAAATTTCACAACAGAAAGTACCAAGTTTTCAAACATGTTATATTTTTGTTACAGACGGACATCACAGAGGTGTGTGGCAATCCATTAGAATTTGCTCAACAGCTTACACACATAGAATTAGAGAGATTACGGTACATTGGACCAGAAGAATTTGTTCAAGCGTTTTCCAAAGAATCTCACAGCTCAGAGGTAATTACTAGAAAACTTCTAGCTTATTGTTACATCATAAACAAAATAAATGGCAAAGAATTTTACAGCTCAGTGGTAATTACTAGAAACTTGGGTTTTATCATTATATAGTAATAGAAATAATTGGCAAAGAATCTCACAGCTCAGAGGTAACTACTAGAAACTTGTGTTTTATCAGAGAAGTATGTTAGTGTTCTTTTTACCGTGATTAATTCAGGATTTAAATGTTAACTTTCCAACTAATTTAAAATATAAAGACTTCCATTATCTTCATAATTATTTAAATGTATTGTCTTATGTTTCAAAAATACTCTTTGAAAATATTTTAGAAAAGTTACTGGGTAGCTATCATTTTTAAAAAGGAATTGTTCATGTCATGAGTAATAAATTTCCATTGTTTCTCTTCACAGACAACAATAAGAGATGTGAAACGAACATCTAACCTAGAAGCCTACGTCCAGTGGTTCAACAGACTCAGCTACTTTGTGGCTACAGAAATTTGCTCAGTAAGTATGTTGTTTAAGTAAAGGGAGGTAATTCATGGTTTCTTTGTACTGAAATGCATCTTATTTTGAAACTGGATTCATAATTAACATATAAAAGCAAATATAGAGTTACCTTACCTTTAAATAGGAGTCTTTCTTTGTCCAGCATTAAAAAAAAATCAATTTAGACAGAGACAAATATATAATAATTGGAATTTTTCTTTTTACAGCATTTAAAAAAGAAGAACCGAGTGAAAATGATAGAATATTTCACAGATGTTGCCAAGGAATGTATAAACATAGGCAACTTCAACTCATTAATGGCAATTATTGGTAAGTACTACTGTAGTCCTTTAGATATACTGTAAATTTTAGTTTAATATTTTATCAAGAATGAAGATAATAAAAGATAAAAATGATTAAAATCACTTCTACTTTCTGAGGTCTACAGACAAGATCCTATTTGTTGTTTGTGTTTCATGTACTTATCTATGATTTTCTTGTTACAGCGGGTATGAACATGAGCCCTGTTGCAAGACTGAAGAAAACGGTAAGTTTCTAAAAAAGGCCAAATAATAATGGGCTTTTTATGCTCTTTTAATCCTAAAATAAGAAGTTTTAATACGTTGAAAAGATTTTCTTGAAAGTAACTTCAGTTAAAACATTGTCTTTTCTTTGTAATCATCTATAAGTATATTCCACAGTAATTATGATACAGTATTTAAGTTTCTAATTATAATTAATGATTTTCTCTTATATCTCTTGCAGTGGGCGAAAGTCAACACGACAAAGTTTGAAATTCTAGAGGTGAGTGATCAATGAAATTAAATGATTTTTGAGTATTGAAAGTTCAAAATTAAGCTGTCAGTTTCTAATAAATGTAAAAATATCAAAATCCTGAATATATAATATTGGTTGACCTTCCTGCTGTTTAAAATCCTGAATATGATTTTTAACTTTTTGAACATGATTGTTCAAGCCTTAATTGTCTGCTATAATTGACTAATATTGTTTTGTTTTTCTACCTTCAGCACCAGATGGACCCCTCAAACAACTTTGGTAGTTACAGATCGTGTTTGAAGGCGGCCATGTGGCGGTCAGATAGTGCTGCGACAGACAGAGAAAAGGTAGATCAATTCTTCACATCTCGATCAACCATCCTAATGTATCATTAAATTTAACTTCAGACTTAATTAAAAACATTTCCTTAACAGCTTTAGAAATATAAATCAGATCCATTAGATTGCCTTACTTAATTGATCTTGTGGAATTGTGGCATATAAGTGATCTTAAAAGTACAGTAGTTTAGTCTTCAAAGGAAAATTTCAATGTTTTCAAAGTTATTATATTGCATCTCTTATATAAAGTATTGTTGTCTTTTTTCCAGATTGTCATTCCTTTCTTCAGTTTATTTGTGAAAGACATATATTTCCTCAATGAGGGATGCAATAGCAAGTAAGTAGAAATGCACATTTAGTTCTTAATTACATCAAAATTGATTTACCAAGTATATAAAAATAAATTAACCAATTAATTGACATGACCAATATTCCTAATATTTTCTCAATTTATGGTTTTATCAGGTTTTGAAGTTACAAAATATCCCTCTGATTGGTGTGGTTTCTAACTAGATTTTATTAATCCGTAGGTTAGCAAATGGGAATATCAACTTTGAGAAATTCTGGCAGCTGGCAAAGCATATCTCTGACTTCATTAGCTGGCAACAGGTTGAGTGTCCATTCCAGAGATCTGCTGATGTCCTCAGCTACATTCTGACCACAACAGTTTTCTCAGAATCAAGTAAGTTTTGTTCATCATTCAATATGAAATGTGATCTGTGACTGATCAAATATGACTAGTTGACATACCAAACACTAACTGACAGATTAAAAAAAAAATAATGTTCAGCTTGTGTATTGTCTTAAAACAGTAATATTTACTCTCACAACTGTTTTTGATTAATTTTTATTAATCTTTGGCTTTACAGAATTCTGAATCATTATTTAAAGGTGCAAATATCATGTATATCTTTTGTGCAGTCCTTTAAAAATGATGGATTTCATTTTAGCTCATGATTGTCTCAAAAATTAAAAGAAAGATCTTAATTTTTTCAGCTCTCTCCCTGGCATCCTACGAGTGTGAAGCCCCAGAAACAAGTTTTGACAAGGAACGTCATAAAAAGCTGAAGTATGTATAATTCAACTTTTCAACCTAATATATTTTTACAATTTCACCATTTAAATGTTTCAATGTCACAGATTCATAAATTTTAACAATAAAGTATGCCTCTAAGTAAACTTTATATATATCACTTGTGCATCCATGTATATCTTGGAAGTTATATTCTACAATTATCAGTTTTCTTAACAACTTTATACTGATTCCCATTTCGTTTCACATTCTTTATTAAAATATTTCACACAGTTAGAGGTTTACAATGAACATCTGATATATTTGTAATATTATGTTTTGAAAGTTTTAATTGATATTTAACATTTTGACAACTGAGAAAATGTTGGCATTTAAATTGTGTTTTTTTCTAATCAGATAATATTTGTCCTTACAGAGCACAGGTTGGATTATGACTAGTACAGAACCCTGTCCTTCATAGGAAGTCCAAACGCAGGAAATAAACTAAGGACAGTTGTGAAAAAGTGCAAGGACACAAAAAATGACACACTTCAGTCTTTCGACTAAGAGATAATGTACTAGTTTCCAGAGTTGTGTTCAGAAAACTCATTACTTATATGGAGGATTTGTCTCTGTGAGACAAGCATCTTGCTGGTCAAGATTTGAATGGACATTCCAGGGTGATGCTTCAAATGTGTTGTGCTTTGTCTTCTAGACATGGTCCTGTGTCTCAGTTACAGTTCCTGAAAAACCAAAAGTGCTACTTATCTTGTATATTGTGGAACAAACTGATCAAACTGGTCACTGACCATGAGGATTGACAAGCAGGATTAAAATGTTGAGTGTGTGTATGTGTGTGAATTGTTATATTTATATGAATGGTGGACACAGTGAGACAGGCAAATAAAACTTTATATTTCATTATTTATGATAAAGAAACACATTAATTGACACTAGACATTATAAATATTGAAAGGATTTTCATAATTCAGTCAGATGCCAAGTGATTAGGTGAAAGATATTAAAGCTTATCACTTATGTGCATACAAAATCATTTTAGAGATTATGAAATGCTGTGAAAGTTATCAGTAAAGTCATGTTTCTACAGTCCTTAAATATTTATATGTGAACTTCACACTGTGCAGACCAGTAGTCGGCATTGAACATAATTAACAAATTAACAATTAACAAATGTATTGGCTGAGTCTAAAAAAAATGTAATTTATGAAGTCATTTTGAAAATAAAAAGAATCGAACAATTATTTATATTGTTAAAACTATTTGAATTTTTGCATAATCTGATCTTTATATTTAAACTTGGACCATTTGATAAAACAGCTATTGATGTAAAATTTCATATTTAAATATTTTGATATATAGGGATTAATTAAATACTCAAGGCCATGGTGTGAGGAGAATGAAACTGGTGCTGAAAAGATCATATCTCATGTATTTATCATCCAGATCTCTCATTTTGATTATATTTCCTGTTGTCAGTTGTTGTTCAAGTGTTTGTTACTCTTCCTGTAATGTATAATTGTCTCCCTTTAGGGTAGTTCTCTAACATCTTACCAAGACTACAACCTGCAGTTATTTTGGCAGCATGGTCAATATGTTTTTTGTCTTGTTTGGTTTACCTTTGAAGAAAACACTTGGTATATTGTTTTAGTATGATAAACAATAGTTACCTGAACATTTGTATGTTGATGTAGATATGTACATCAGTAGTGTACCTTTGAAGATATAAGGACACAAACATAATCTTTTGAATACTATCAGATCTGCAAATTTTACTGCTTGATGTGTGATTGATGTTGTAGAGAAATAAATTATATACTTTGCTCTTGAACGACAAAAGAGATTTTTTCTCATAACTTAATATTTCTTTGGCTTTTGTAAAATGCATCCTAACATCCCTGAAAACTTACATAGGAATGCTCCATGAATATGGACTTGTCTAAGTTTTTGGTTTGGGGATGATAAGATGTGACAGTTGGTTTGTAAAATCTGTGTTGTCTGTATGACCAGTAACAGTTATTGTCTCTATAATTCTTATGTCTTATCTATTTATAACATTCAATTTTGTTAACTCTTTGTCATTCTTTTTTTCCTTAAAAAACTGCATTCTTTATCTTAATTACCAGTATATGTATGATACGTGTACGAGACTCCAGTCTATCACAGGATGATTGAGCGACATACTACAATGTAGTTAATTAAAGGTAGATTTATATTTTAGACAAGATCAATTAATTACTAAAATTAAATTGTTATTGATTCTTTTAAATGTTGATTTAAAAATGGCAAACTTAAGATCAGTCCTTCCATGTGGATGTAATCTGAGATTATATATGTTTTCCTTTGTATTAATGACCTGTCCACATTTGTTAATGTTATTATATATTTATCATTTACACTGTTCAAAGTTACTGATGTGTGAAATAAACATATGGAAAATGAAAGTAACAAGTCGGTTATAAAGAAAATGAAACTAATAAGTTAGTTATATAGAAAATGAAAGTAACAAGGTTTGGTTATAAATATTGAAAATGAAAAGGAAAGGAGTTGGTTAAAATATCACAAGTGAAAGTATAGATGGTTATAGACAAAAGTAGTCGGATGGTTATAATTATGAAGACAGGCAAAGAGTTTTATAACAGAATGATAATTTTCATGCAAAATATTTGCGAAAAATCAGAATTAGATTAAAATGAATCTAATATTTATGAAATGTTTTGCAGATATTTTGGGTACATGGCTTTGCTTATATACTAGATATTCTACACACTTTTTGACTTTGCACAGTGTAATGCTATTTAAGCCATTAATTCATCAGACTTTCATCATCCACATTCAGTTCATTCATCTTCTGTTGAATACACAATTGTCATCATCATTTTCTTCATTTGTTATTCATCTTTCATCTTCATTTCAAATCAACTTATTAAAATAAATGACCATACTTATTGTTAAGAATCATTTAAGTTAATATTGAATATGTTTTAATGTTATATACTTAACATTGAAAACTGTGTCAAATTCTTGTTACCCTTTGTTAAAACAACAATGTAAAAATATGAATTTATTGATGTGTAGATATCAAGGTATTCATAATTTTAGACATGTTGAATCTCTCAATGAATAAAAATGTGAAAGCAATTTTAGGCATTTCTTGTTATTTTATGTTTTTTGAAGAGCAAAGTCCCTTTGGAATCAAGTCAATGGTCCACACAAGGGAATGAGGTTATTGAAACAATACTCATACACTTAACTTTGTGTTTCTCAGGAAGCTAAGAAACACACTTTTTCCTTAGGCAAGAGGCTTTAATACGATTGCTCAGAAAGGCGTGTGGTGGACTTCCCGCAATACGTTCTGTGAGATAACCACTAGCTACTTTATAGGAGACCTCAGCTCAAAATGACCCTTGAAGTTGACAAGTATGAATTTATTACAAGTAAATGGAATTATGCCTATATAAGGAAGATAACGAATAAAACAAAACGAATAAACATATGGAAGTGCTGTTTTCGGGTAATAAGGGGAATTACAACGACTTATACGTGGAGTGTTATTGGGACGAGTTCAGTGTTGTATTAATCAGTTGTGTGACCTCTTCACTTAGAATCTTGGCTTACAAAGGGAGAATGGAGTTGAGAAATAACTTCCATATTCATATACGTCTGAAGCGTAGTCAAGTCGATCTGACGACAGGTTGTCTCTCAAAGATCACTGATCATGTGATGAACGTGACAAGGAAGTGACGAAATGTCACGCATGATATTCCATGTGGTACAAGAACGAAACTTAGTCTCAGTTTCGATATATCAAGAGAGACAGAGATATTATGTAGTAAGTTTTCAGTTAAATTTCGTTTGCTATGTTGAAATGAGTCTATATGTTAACCGAATGGTGATCTGACATACAGACTTGTCCTTCTAGACTAACACATTCTCGATCATCAGTTTCTTAGAAATACTAGGAAGAAGCATGTTCATTTGTTCTGCAACATTGTAACAAAAAAAGCATACCTACTCAAATCAGTAATTTCCTACATGGTCAACGAATTAGGTCACGCAGAAATCGAATTAACTGCATGTGTTGACATCAGTCCGAAGTTGGTGTCTAGTCAAACTTTTTGGAAGAGTTATCTTTCTTGCCTCAGTTGGTTGTCAACGACCTCGCCAAAGTGAAGTTCAGTTTTGTGTGGTGGAGATCGCTAACATTTAACATGGAAACTAAGGGACATATGAGAACGATGTCAACGGATTACGATGCCAGTGACGGGCGGTTTTATAGTACCGTCACACTGAAATATCATGACCTGGACACGGTTGTATGAAAAACCCCGCTCGATGATATCAAGCTGACAAAGGACTAATCAGTCCGTGTGCGTTATTCAATACTGAGCAACCAGGACACCAAGTACCGTTTAAATGACTTTGTTAGCTAAAAGCGTCAATGCTATGGAATTTGAGAGGTACTTTTTTATTTTCAATTGTCTCCCATGTTGGATATAGTCATTTTTAAATCTTCTATAAGCAAGGTAAGAAAGCAACATATTGTTTACTTTTGATAAGAATACTTATAACGTAAATTGAAATAACAACTTTTGTCAATGTTCAGGGTTTGATAACGGTAATTTTTTCTGTTGTTTCAGGATTAGGATTGTAAAAGAAATGCTGTTAAAATTTGTTTTTGAGAATTGTTTTTTCTTTACTTTTTTATCTGATAAAGCTTCATCGTTCATTGTTTCAATATTGAAGAAAAAAATAAGAGACAGCGAGAGCGTACTCAAATGTCCCGCAACCTATATAAAAACATATTTATATAATATAAAGATGCAACAAATATTTGGAAATCAACCTTAAATCCTTCCCATTTGTGACGAGATTTTCTTTTTCTTTCTTTTTTAGATTGAAAGAGACAATTATCAAAGTTTGTAATAGATTTTCCATATTCATTTACTAGAAAAAAATAATGTTTACAGACGTAGGCTCTGGTAATGCTCGACAGAACTAAGCCGAAGCCGGACAGACCAATGCATGTTGGTTATATCACTGAAATAGTAAGTTAAAAAGTTCCGATCTTTGACAATGTATATAGTTATTGAGAAATGCTACTCAGTTATAACATGTTTAAATTCATTCATTTCGTAATTTTTGCTCGGGCTACAAACGTTTAATGGATGAAGCCATGATCACCGATAGGTTGTGGACGTACCCCTGTATAGTCTATAGTGTCGATGTCTTGTTTGTGCAGCACTGTCTACCTTAAACATGTAAAATACGGTTTGGTTTAAATTTAATTATGGATAACTCAATTTCTCTTGTGAAACCCCAATGGTGACAAATATTCGCAAGGGTGATGTATCTAGATCGGTCTAGGCCGCGATATTGCTAGGACGAAACTAAATTTAATCACGGCTTTCCGAGAAATAAACGGTACCACGCTAAATACTGGCTACAGTGGACACCAGTTACTAGTTACATGATTGTCAACTGTGTGAAGTTTCATAAGATTTAATATTCTGACAGAACTTGGTCGATTTCAAATCCGTTAGACTACTTGACAGAATTGCCCCACTGCTTCCTTCACACACATAATGTATCTGGTTTATCTCGTTTAAAACACAGAACACCCCAACAAAAACAAAATGTATATTTGTCTTTAAAATGAGTAAGAACGCAACCAGTATATCATCCTAATGGCACACCAAGAAAAGGGCGGGAAAAAGTTAATTGGATTACAACAGGGACAGAGTAGCGATTACAAACGTACGGGAGTATTATACATTTGTAGCAAACTTTAATCCAATAGAGTGTGTTGGATATCTTTGTTTCTACAGCGCAAACCTCTGTGTACATACATCATGCACCGCTGTTTATCTAATTACCTCTTGTAACGTGTAATGCAATTATGTGATGGTACACCTTTCCGTCATCTGCTCGTGTTGAGATCCAAGTTTAAATATGTAGGTACCGTTGGAACAAAGATAATGTGATGAATGGGAAATTATACTCAATAGAAAGACGTCACTTTCTGCGTTATGTTTTCTATTCTCAAGAATAACATATTACACGCCCGTGCATGTCATTTTGGATTGTATAAATTGTTATGGCATTTTTGGTAGTTTTTCCATGGATTTAGAAATTATTAATTAAATGCGGGTCTGTAGTTTAAGCGTGAAAACTGCACTGGATGAACACGAATTTCTAGAAACCAAGAATAACGACGATGACAACGGTAACGGTGGAACCCCGTATGTAACAAGCGTCTCGGATACTCAGGAGAAACGGAAGCGAAGTTGATGTTAACAAAATCAATTTTATTTTATGTAATGATAATGACACACGATGATAATATTGTCACGGATTCTTTGGCAAGCGATAGGAAATTGTTTCCACTGTCTGAGACCTAACCAGCAGTCGCCAAAGCCAAATTAGTTGATTGATGTCTCTAGTTAAGTCAGTATTATGGCAGAACTTCGTACTCATATCATCAAACCATCTGCTTCATATCTCATGACTTTATGAAAACATCTGTAAGTTCAAACAGGACATGGAAGCGGAGTTAAAGATGAAGCATTTCGTTCCGAAAAGTTAAAGGTTTTAATTCATGTGGTGTTTTCTAAGGGAATGGGTTTTAGTGTTTGGCTTCATTAAGTTCAATAATTACACAGGAGGCTCAATCCGCCTGACACATTGATTACAGTACCTAGCCGATAACAGATGCTTCAGAGTCAAACAAATCCAAGCTAGATGTTCATCGGCTGTATGGAGTGGGGATTTGTATCAGGGTTTTAATGTCATATCTCAAAAGCTCCTCTGTGATATTACTCGTTACGTTAAAATCCAAATGCTATCGCTGATCTTGTGATTGTTTTCATAAGCTAGATTCATTTCTCCTTTGCGGCAATCTTCATCATACTGGTAGTTACACAAGCTTGTCAAACATAAGAATATTTGGCAGTGCACACTGGCGTATCTGAAGTACGCAATGTACTCATAAAGTACGAAAGTAAGTTTTCAATTTTTAACTGAAAGACAAAGAATGCATGCTCCTTAATTTTGTATCTTTACATTCATGTGAAGTCACATGGCGCCAGATGTTGTATGTGCATTTAATCATTAGTATTTGAAGCAACTGAAGTGGAATGTATGCTATTTAATAAATGTTGAATATTTTTTTTATTATTTGTTCAGGGTTCATTTTTAAAATTTAAGACAGATATTTTATCTACTTTGTAAAATCGTATTTTTACTTGGTTATTACAACGGAATCTATTTGTACACGTTCTGACGCACATGCAATGTGTGTGTGTAATCAACTGCTTTCTGCACGTGCTGTAACATCTAAACATGTGGGTGCAATGAAAACAAAGATTCATCAAAAAGCCAAGTTTTTTTACTTCTCAAAGGTTTTCGTAATCAATGACATCGGCATAATATAAGTTTTAATGGGCACAATAAGTTTGAGGACCGCACAGGGATTCCACAGAAATTCTTAGATGTTCGCAATGTTATTGTTGTACACACTACTACACCAAGAGGACGTTTCTTTTTGACTATTGGAGACTAGATTGTGAAATAATTCAACAATTCAAGTCTGCCGGTTGGATCAAAGTGCTCCAACAACTCCGCAACGTCGTGAAGTCGAGTTTAGGGGCGAAAAAAACACTGTTACTTACATATTCTTCTTTTGGAAGAAAACATACCTAGTAATCTTACAAACTTTTGGATTAACAGTCAGCAATAAGGATACGAACGTTCCCTTAAATTAGACTCTTAAATCTAGCATAAACCTATATAAAATGGTCAAATGAATGCCTTTATCCAAACTTGGAACTTCCATGTTTACAACCATTGAAAAATGTTTTCTATAACATATGGTTACTTCATACTGTACACTACCATATCTCACTCCAAATCAAAGGAACGCTTTAATTCTCTTGGTTTAAGAATTTCTGCTTTTCAAAGATAAAGACAAGGGAATGATTATATATCTGTTTTTGAAAGCATTTTCGTTGAGATTGGTAGAAAGATCCTACCAATAGGTACTAACTGTGAAACCTTTTAGGACTGTGTAA